TTTATATCAGAGTCAGAGGCATAAATAGCAAGGGCCGTGTTGTGTCTTCCATGTTGAAGGTCTGCACGGTGTTTGTGCACTCTGGTTGCTAAGAATTGTTTCATAGATCCAATATAAATGAGGTCCCTGTCACATCTGTTGTCCTTTAGAGGGATGGAGTAAACACCAGGGAGCCTGTTATGGTTGGAAGAGTCCTTTCTGTTGCAGAGGATATCAAAAATTGTGGGACATCTGTACGTTATCTGCATGCAGTGTTTGTTAGCAATTTCAGTGTACAACAATTTAATGTAGGGGTTAAATGTGACAGGGACACAAGTTTCATTGTCCATTCCATTGTCGGTGGTTGTATGAGCAGCAGAGGGGTGCAATGAGTGGTGGTAATGCTCAATCAAACGATGGGTCAGATCAGGTTAGCCGTGGTTTGTAGCAATCCTCTTAATGTGGGTTAATTCAGTGGCCAGAGCTTGAGGGGTAGACGAGTGAGAAAATTACTTCTAATTAATGCATTAAATGCCGCTGTCTTGTAGGAGAATGGGTTGCATGAATCTGCAGGGATGTATATGAAGAGTACTATAGATGAATGGCCATGTTCAAATTAAAAAGCTAAAGAACCTTCTGAACTGGCGGAATTAATAAGCAAACTAAGAAGCACTACCAAATGGAGGCAACAAAACAGAATCATTCTGGTCAGGACTGATAAGTCTATGGCTATGGTTCTGATGAAACATAGCACATTTTGGCAGGGGTGGAGGAAAATCTGGTTGATAAACTACAATCTAGGGTCAAGCGATTTGTTGATTCCAAATTGGTTAAATGCCTAGCATTAGGTAACATAGTTGCAGACTCCCCAGATACACTGAACTGAGGCTCTTTGCTTTTGCCAAAACCCACAAACAAGGCCACCAACTACATCCGGTCATGGATAAAGTGAGAGCTCTCACACGTTAACTTGAGAGAGCCACTCACATCCTACTATCTCCCTACCTTGAAAACTACTCTTACACCATCACTAACCCAGCAGACTTCATCTACCTTCTAAAGGAACTCTCTTCACTGCCTCAATTTATTACAGTCTTAGACTTTAAATCTCTTTACCCTTCCATGCAACTCCCTCAGGGACCTTTTACTCGCCATTGTCAAAGATCATACATTACAGCAACAGGTGTTGGAGATGGCACATCTGATTTGTTACAATTTAGTCTACATGCAAAAAGGCAGGGTCTCCAGGAATAGCCCAGTATATGTGGATCTCTGCGAAATGGTTATTAGATGCTTAGAACACAAGATCCTTCCACGATACCTCCCAAACATCATTTTATACAAGAGGTATGTAGATGATCTCATTTTGTGGAAGACTGTATTGGACATAATGGAGTTCATACAAACTGTTAATGACAATCTGTATTGCTTAACCGTAGAGGTAGAACAATCTGACAGCACAGAGGTCCACTTCTTGGATATAAACATTAAAGTCAAAGTGTCAACTATCCGTAAATCTGTATATTGCAAACCTTGTGCGGCATCTATATACATCCCTGCAGGTTCGTGCAACCCATTCTCCTACAAGACAGCGGCATTTAATGCATTAATTAGAAGTAATTTTCTCACTTGTCTACCCCTCAAGCTCTGGCCACTGAATTAACCCACATTAAGAGGATTGCTACAAACCACGGCTAACCTGATCTGACCCATCGTTTGATTGAGCATTACCACCACTCATTGCACCCCTCTGCTGCTTATACAACCACCGACAATGGAATGGACAATGAAACTTGTGTCCCTGTCACATTTAACCCCTACATTAAATTGTTGTACACTGAAATTGCTAACAAACACTGCATGCAGATAACGTACAGATGTCCCACAATTTTTGATATCCTCTGCAACGGAAAGGACTCTTCCAACCATAACAGGCTCCCTGGTGTTTACTCCATCCCTCTAAAGGACAACAGATGTGACAGGGACCTCATTTATATTGGATCTATGAAACAATTCTTAGCAACCAGAGTGCACAAACACCGTGCAGACCTTCAACATGGAAGACACAACACGGCCCTTGCTATTTATGCCTCTGACTCTGATATAAAAACTGCATTTAACCAAGCCAAGGTCATCATAACTATGCCTCACCCTGAATACATAAAATGGTTAGAAGCCATATCCATTTATAGAGCAAACCACAATGCTACGTGCATCAACCAGAAAGATGAGCTAAATTTATTGGTGGCCTAGCAGGCCCTTATGGACGCCGACCTTTAATGGCCTTCATCTGCGCACGAAATGTGCATGTCCTTTGTAACGACTTTCATCATGCATACGTTCGATTTATTTTGAATATTTACATTCTAATTGTGTTCCATTAGTTATTCTGTGCATTTCATCTGAAGAATAACTATTTATCAGTTCAAAGACGTTAGTGATAAGCTTTATTTTTCACAGAATGCATTGGTAACAAGTACCAGACAAGGTGTTGAGTTACATCCCCGGCATTGATGTGTTCTGGATGTTGATATTTTAATAAATAATTTATAAAGGCACACAATAATTAAAAAAATAAATAAATATAAACACAACAAAATTTAATTATAGCATATGCATATCTTATCATCTATTTGCAGACATTTGTAGACATATAAAGCAGCACCTAAAGTGTATCAAAATCTCCAATATCATTTAAACAGCATATTATTAAATATATATTTAAATAATTATTAACATGCTAAAAATATTTATTTTAAATTTTTATTAATTATTAAAATTACTTTATTGCTCCATAAATGGTTTTATTTATCTATCTATCTATATATATATATAAATGGACGTGTTTGTCCCTATATTTCACTCTGCAGCCAAAACTATACATCACACATGAATGGTGTTTGTGTGTGGTAGTAGTAGCCCCAAGTCTCCCATCGTGCATTATGGTGGTTGCGTCTCGATAGCTATAAGG